ATGATTCCTGTTCTCCCGAAGTAGTAGAATGAGAAAAATATCATGGTTTCTTGAATCTCTCCTTGCCTGAAGACTGATCCCAAGAAGTAATTTGGAGGAAACGGCCTATTACCGCAATTGCTCAAATGGCCTATTCTTGCAATGGCGAAACTGCCCTTTCAGAACTGAGGTTCCCGGCTCAGACAAATACCAGATTTGAAAAAGGGGTGATCATTCATGTTCTCCTGAGGAAGTAGAATCAGAAAAAGATCATGCTTTCATCAATCTCTCCTTTCCTGCATAGTGATCCCAAGAGAATATTTGAAAGTAACGGCCTATTACCGAATTCCTCAAATGGCCTATTCTAGAAATGTCGAAAGGGCCCTTTCACAACTCAGATTCCCGGTTCAGACATACACCAGATTTGAAAAAGGGCTGATGATTCATGTTCTCGCGAGGTAGTAGTATGAGAAAAACATCGTGGTTTCATGAATCTCTCCTTGCCTGAAGAGTGATCCCAAGAAGAATTTTGGAAGAAAGGGCCTATTTTCGCAATTGCTCAAATGTCCTATTCTAGCAATGGAGAAACTGCCGTCTCACAACTGAGGTTCCCGGCTCAGACAAACACCAGATTTGAAAAAGAGGTGATGATACATGTTCTCCCTAGGTAGTAGAATCAGAGAAACATCATGGTTTCATGAATCTCTGCTTGCCTTAATAGTGATGCCCAGGAGAAATTTGGAAGATACGGCCTATTACCGCACATGCTCAAATGGTGTCTACTACAGAAATCAAAGTAGGGAAAAGGGAACTACAGGATTACGTTTGCAAGTTGTCAAGACATCAGAATTATCATGCAAACGCAGTCTTGGACACTAATCTACTTCCACGTAACATGACATAGACGCCTGATTCCACCAACACTCTAATCCCTGTTATAATGATGGCGAGATTCCAGTTTCATAACTGAGTTTCCCGGCTCAGAGAAACAGCTCATTTGAAAATGTGCTTGTGATTTGAGTTCTACTGAGCTAGGGGAATCAGGAAAATCACGTTGTTTCAGGAATCACTCCTTGCCTGGAGAGTGATTGAAAGAACAAATTTGAGAAAATTGCTTCATTACCTTAAGTCCCATAATGGAGTCCATAGCAGTTGTAGAAACAAGGGGAACGTGAAGTACGATGTTTACTTAGCAGTCTTATGAGAGATCAGAACTGTCATCTCTATGCAATCAGACACATTTCCCTACTTTCAAGGAACTTCATACACAGGCCTCTTGTTACCAATCGCTATCAGGCCTGTTATAGTGAATGCCGAATTCAGCTTTGACAACTAAGGTTTGCAGCTCAGGCAAACACCAGATTTGAAAAAGGGCTGGTGATTTGAGTTCTACTGTGATCGAATGGAATTATGAAGGTCAGGCTCAGGGAGATAAGCGTGTTCTTCGTTCACTGCAAGAGGGTGGGAAGGCCAAGAGGATAAGGCTGGGACCTCCCTGAGGAATTCACAGTGTTGTGACTGTCTGGCTTGGGAGCTAGGGTTCAGTCTGGGGAGATTTTTTCTAGAGGTTGTAGCTAATAAATACAGCAGAACTGAATTTACATTGTCTGTTGGAGTTCTTTGGGCTAAACCTGAGATCTACCGAGCTAGGGGAATCAGGAGCAGCACGTGGTTTCAGGAACCACTCTTTGCCTCCAGAGTGATTGAAAGAACAAATTTGCGAAAATCGCTTCATTACCTCAAGTCCCATAATGGAGTCCATAGCAGACCCCAAAACAAGGGGAACATGAACTACACTGTTGACTTAGCAGTCTCACGAGAACAGAATTCTAAACTCAACACAGTCTGAGATTGTCAGGCCTAGCCCAAAGAACTCCTGGAGACCATGCAGGTTCAATCAGCAAGGTTTATTTGCCAGCACC